TATTCTGTGATAGCGTTGTCCGCAATTGACGTCACGAAAATTCGACCCCCCGCCAAGACTCAGACAAACATTGGCAACATTTAATATAAATAGTATTACGATTAAGAGCTTCCTGTGAGTTAGTTTGATAGTTTGATCGTTTGTTTACAGTTTATTTGTGGGAAATCATACACACCTTGTACTTTTCGCTTTACCTGAAGTGCCAGTGCAAAATATTTTTGCTTTGGAAGTAGAAATACACACTTTTTCGTCACTTTAGTATCGACTGTCATGTCGTTTCTATCATAGGCAGTGTCTACTGTGTTATAATAGTCCATGGTTTGGCGTAACTGTTGCTATAAAGAAAGGGTATGCAAAAGAAAGGACGATAGAAAGTCTGTAGTAGCAGATATTTAACGAAAAAATCTCGTAGTCGTACCAGATTTAATTCGTAGCCCAAGCGAATCAGTTCTAAAGTTCCCTATTTAATGTTGTTGATTTCATGTTACTAACTTACCTCGCTTTAGTGTGCATTATTTTATTACTTTAGACATCTCTTTTATTAATAGCAAAGTCCAATACCAAAGAAGCTAGGATTATTTACTATAATCTATTGACTACATATTCAACTTATAAAATACGGATTTATTAGGAATGTAATTAAAATTAATACTTTCAAATTTAAACTTTTAAAAAATGTCAAAGATAAACTACAAATATATAATCTTCCGTTGACCAGTAAAACTATTTTGCTTTGACAATACAACAAAAATATGTTATTATAAAAACAACATTTTTATTTATCTATTTTTAAAGTTTTTTAAAATAGAGAACCGCCCTTTATTATTAACACTGTGTTAATTAAATAGCCTAACACTGTCTGGTTAAAATATTGCTTCCCTCAGTCATAAATTTAACAACAGACGCTCTCACTAAAAACGATGGCGTCCCAGACTCATCTTTTGAGCATCATCCATCTGATTATACTGTCGATTTAATATAAACTCAAGCAGTGGTTAAAATGTAGAGGCCGGCTTATAGCAAAGCGGTATAAAACGTCACGTTCTTCTTCAGCGAGTTAGCGATTGCTTTTAATAGTTCGGGAAAGCATCGTTCGCTGGATGTATTGACGGGGGGAAATGGTTAGCTGCGAAAGTTCTTGGAGAATAACCAGCACAGTCCGCAGTCAATAACAGTCAACACATTGCTACTGCCGAGTACTGTTTCAGCAATTATTCTGAGTATTTTGAATCACTTGGACATGTTCCCCAGCAACAGAGCTTAGCAATAACCATGTTTGTAGTTTGGGATAAATTTAAATTCGTTTTAGCACAGATAAAATAAATAAAAACGTCAATTTAGACCAATTTATGTTCGCTGCTAGTACAATTCTATACAAAATGTTAGTTTGTTTGTCTGAGTCTCGCGGGGGGTCTTCATTTGGAAAATCTATTTTTAGCTACTGCGGACAACGCTATTGAAGTTAGCGGTTCAGATTTGTACGTACCTCCCGAATATAGTCAGGACAAAAGTGAGGATCACGACTACGGTCTTATTCTTCTACCAGGTCATGGTAATTCTGACGACGGGTTTGGTTGGTCAACGATCGTTCCAGATAATGAATTGAACAACCGACTTATCACCATCTGTGGATTTCCAGGCGACAAACCACTCAACACTATGTGGATCACTGGACGACAGATCAAGAGATACACTGCAAACTTGCTCTACTACGATAATGTCGACCCGAATGCTGGTCAAAGTGGAAGTCCAGTGTACACGTGGTATGGTGGCTATTGGACAGTGCTCGGTGTCGATGGCGTCGGTGTCAATTCCGATAACTCAGCTGCGCGTTTTACAGTAGAAATGATTTCCCGTTTTCTGCGACGTATGAATTCCCTGAACCCAGTAACCTTAATGTCTGTTACATTCCCCGATGTCTACATGCGCTGTGATGGGAATGGAGTCACCAAACATAAAGCTAAAGGATCGGGTATTGTTAACTGCCAGTACAAACCGCCAGGTACTTATGAGAAATTTTACATCATTCCAGTGGAAACGAAACCTTCGTCTGCTTCGGAGCATCCCTTTACAGTGGCGTTAGAAAGTGCCGAGTTCAGCAATGTTTACGTCCGCATGGACAGCGAAGGCATGAATGCCCCCCAAAGTCCTGGAGGGGGTGTGGTAAACTGCCAGGCTAGCGTAGGCTCCTGGGAGTCGTTCGTGATGGTAAAGCAATCGAGTGGTGCCTGCTCGTTTCGTAGTGTCGCGTTTCCTCACTGCTTCATTCGGATGGATGGCAGGAACGTAACTAAAAATACCGGACCTGGAGCTGGTGTCGTCAACTGCCAATACTATTCTAATCCTTCTGATGTAACTGATTGGGAATTGTTTTACGTGAATGGGTCGTAATTAATCATCTATCGATTGAACTCTTACTGTTTAGCTATTTCAATAGGCATACGTTGCATGTAAAACTGCTGTATTGTCCTATTTGAACTGATGGATGAACATTATTGGGCGTCTTTAGAAAATCATAGCGTTATAGCCTTATAGGTCAAAGAAAACTAACAATGAACTCATAATTTTGTTTAATTTTGTATCGTTTATATACCTTCTTATAAACTTTGACTTCGATAACAGTCGATATCAATATGTATACCTTTTAATTCTATTTAATTACATAATAAATGTTGTATTTCTAGTTGCGAGAATTCTCTGACTGTTTGATGTTATTCTAGGGGGTCCGATGTGAAGGGGGGGGGG